CCTGCTGAGGAAAGAAGGGATCCCAAGCACATTGCAAAGTTCCAGACTGCTCTTTAGGTCACACTCAGAGGCCTGTACACTTTGCTGAGAGGATGACAGAGTCAAATGCCAATGCTGAAGAGAGCAATCGTTGTGGTGAGAGCATGGCAGGGGAGGGGGTGGAATACTTACCTGTATGACCACAAGCTAATTTGTGTAGAAACAACATCTTTATCTGAAGTCCAAGGCTTTTCTTAATCCCAAAGGCAATTCTTCTTGAGCAGGATGTGTCAGTTGGAAATGAGAATAGGAAGGAAATATGGAAAGAAATAGGGAAGAGTCAATTCAGTCTTAAACTCTTTCCATAGTTTAAATAAATAAGACTTTGAAACCTGTGGAACAGCAACCCTAATTTAAACTAAACAGATGACACCAAGCTGATTGGTGTGGTTGACATGCCTGAGGGACAGGATGCCACCCAGAAGGACCTGGATAAGCTCAAGAAGTGGGCCTGTGTGAACCTCATGAGGTTGAACAAGGCCAAGTGCAGGGTTCTGAACCTGGGTCAGGGCAACCCCCAGCATCAATACAGGCTGGGGGATGAAGGGATTGAGAGTAGCCCTGCCGAGAAGGACTTGGGTGTACTAGTGGATGAAAAGCTGGACATGAGCTGGCAATGTGCGATTGCAGTCCAGAAAGCCAACCGGATCCTGGGCTGCATGAAAAGAAGGTCGAGGGAGGTGATTGTGCCCCTCTACGCTGCTCTTGTGAGACCCTACCTGGAGTACTGCGTCCAGCTCTGGAGCCCTCAGCACAGGAAAGACATGGACCTGTTGGAGCGGGTCCAGAGGAGGGCCACAAAAATGATCAGAGGGCTGGAGCACCTCTCCTATGAGGACAGGCTGATAGAGTTGGGGTTGTTCAGCCTGGAGAAGAGAAGGCTCTGGGGAGACCTTATTGTGGCCTTCCTGTACTTAAAGGGGGCTTATAAGAAAGGTAGGGACAGACTTTTTTGTGGGTCCTTTAGCAATAGGAGAAGAGGTAATGGTTTTAAACTAAATTAGGGTAGATTTAGACTAGATATAAGAAAAAAAAAGTTAAAATGAGTGTGGTGAAACACTGGCACAGGTTGCCCAGAGAGGTGGTAGATGCACCATCCCTGGAAATGTTCCCGGTCAAGTTGGACAAGGCTCTGAGCAATCTGATCTAGTTGAAGATGCCCCTGCTCATTGCAGGGGAAGTTGGACTAGGTGACCTTTAAAGGTCCTTTCCAAACCAAACTATTCCAAGATTCTATGGAAGTCCTTAGGTATATTATTTTGTGGGGTTTTAAAAAAATATTTCCTAGCCTTCAATGGTGGATCATTCTGGCTAACCTGAGGAACTGACTCACACCTGAAATCTGCTGAGGTACCCAGCACAAAGCTGAGCACCCTGACAGTCAATCAGGGCCTTTAGCCCTGAAGGAGGCTATATTCGGAGTATTTATCAGCTTCCTGACTCTGTTAAAAGTTTCCTGAGATGAGAGAAATCAGGAAAGTTAGCATTCACTACCAAGTTTTGATCTAGAAAATTGCTTGAGAGCACAATAACAATGCTTGATTTTTAAATACTAAAGAAATATTTAAAATCAAACAACTCAAATTAGATTTACTGTATGATTCAATAGAAGAAGGAGAAGAACGAGAAGAAAATCTCTTTTGCACAAGTAACAGAGGCAGAGTGGCAAGTTTTCAGATTCATGCAGTAAAGAGTTTAGATACAGTTCACTGGCTGCCTTATATTGTACTGTTGCATTTCATCATTAAGTGTCCAAGTTGGCATTCTAGCTTTAAACATTTTAGAAGCAAAATTCATAGTCTCTGCCACCAATTCCCAAAAGGAGAGCTGATTTCTGGGACATGCTCCGCCCAGTTCACTGGGGGATCAGAGTGTGAGTGTGGACATCTTACCTGGTTGGAGCTGCGTGTGATTATAAATTACTTTCCATATCTTACGTGAACCAGGTCAGTAAACTCGCCAGAGCAGCAAAGACATAGGAGAGGGAAGTCTGCGTTTCTTATGCAGTCGCCACCCACCTAAAATTTCATCACCTTGGTATTTGAGCTAATGGTTCAAATCCATAAGTCTCTGGGGATGCAAACCGATTGGTTTTCAAGTTGTTCACCTGAGGCCTAAATAACTTCTTGCTGGATTAGAGAAGATGCCTTTGGCGTCAGAGGGAGTGCCCTCAACAGTCTTGAAAGTCACAACACTTGCTTGGTTTTCTGGGTTGGGATTTGGGTGATATACCCATTGCTCTGGCTAAGGTAGTTTTGCTAGTTCAGGTATTGATAACTTGAGGTGTTTGTATGCATATCAAACTAGAAAATTGAAAGTCATGCTCAGCCACATGCCTGTGCCATTCTGGCAAACTAGTATAGTATAGTTATTATAACCAGTCAAGTAAGCTCTCCAGGACCACTTGGTGGTTTCAAGAACAATGTGACTTCAGCTTTAAGAATAATGAGAAGGATGGCATCATTTTGCAATACAGTGCATTTTCATTTGTTCTGTTTCCTTTTTGGTTTGATGATTATTTTGATGTCCTCTGAAACAGCACACAGTGTTCTTGACTCATCTGTTTCGGAGGGAATGCAGACAAGTGCCCTATCCCGTGCTACAGGGAACAGCTGACTAGTGACTAGTAACATAAATTGATAATTTTGCTTATTACAGCAATATGGCTATTACAAGATTTGCAAGATTACATGGCAGATAAGATATTTCTAGAACTGCAGCCTAATATTTCTGCAGACACAGCATGCTGTGCTATGTGCAGTACAGCTTAAAATCATTATCTTAAGGGTTTGTGGTTTTGTTTTCTGGATAAAGATTCCATAACCATTTTTACAGAATAATAATACAGCTGAAAATCTAGTATTTGGGCAAGCTTGCTTTTGACTTTCTCCTCCCTTTCAATGTAATGCAAAAATTAAATCTTTTACTTGGGCTAGATAGAAAAATATCCCAACATTTCTCTGTCTAGCCAAACTTCTAAATGAATTGACTTCCTGTTAATGCTGGAGCAGCTGAGCTTAATTTATCATGAATGTTAATGAAAAACACTTCAGAAAGTCTTGTGTGTTCCTGTTGCATCCAAATTTCATCATTTGTTCCTACAGTTGTGAGTACCAGAGGTATTTGTATGTTCATCAAACTGGGAAACAGGAGATGGGAACAAGCAAAGTGTGCCCAAGCTCAGCTAGGTAGGGCAGCTCGGGTGAGGAACTGTACATATCTCACATGCACAGGAAACACCTTGAGAAGGAAAGTCTAACCACAGACGTATCAGATCGTATTGTAGAAGTGTTGTAGCTGTGATGTTGTACAGATGTAAGAGCCCTGGTTAAAGTGTTCAGAGAGAATTTAGCCTTTTTTTTTTCTTTTTCTTCAGTTTCTCTAGCTGATTCTTAAAAGTTGTTCTCTCTCCCCAAAAACCTTTCCTCAAAGGGTGCTTCAGAAAATCATAATCTGTTTACAGATATTATTTTTTGCAGGAGGAAGAGTCTTTCAACTTGCAAATAATGTGCTAGAAACAGACTTCCTCTGTTCTTTTTTTGGCTTTTTATATTTTGGGTGGAGGCAGTTAAGAAAGCTGCATGGTTCCTGAACAGGCAAAGAATAAAATAGTTGTCACAGATTTTTGTATTCCAACTAGACTTCCCTTAGTTACATAATTTAAGCTAGCCTTTGATAATTTATGTCATTATAAGTATACACTATGTATGTGGCCTTAGATTTCCGTTTGTATTTGGTTTTACTTCCTGCTTCTGTCCAGTACCAGAAGTGCTGAAATAAAAGAGAGACACTGTTGTCTCATATTGCTGACCTCGGCAGACTGAGCAAGACCTAGGAATCAGCAAAATGATATTTTTTTTTTTTTTCATTTATTGAAACACTGAAGGTCTTATAAAGACCAAACTAAATTACTGATTCCTTTGTTCACTACCCCTCCAGTCCTCAGATGCACTCAGGGGCAGATAAGAAATAGTTGCGTGGAGTAAAACAAAAAAAGATCACAACTCTAGCTACAATTTTATTTTATTTCAATGACAAATTTACGCTGTCAGAAGAAGTAACATAAGTAACTATAACAGGGAAAACTGTCTTTGTTGTAATAACCTATTTGTTAATGGAAACAGTCCAACTTTTTGTTAAGTATGCACAACCAGATTTTCAGCTGTATGAACTTTTTGCTTCAGTTAAATCTTAGCCTATTCACCATTCATGACTTAAAGCATAAATTAAACCGAATTGTTTTTTCTCCATAATTGAATTGATGACAATAGTTTTAAGACAGTGCACATTCCTAAGCACAAAGGAGAGACAACTTTTTTTTCATGTGAAACTGGTCAGAATATAAAGATATGTGCATGCACTAATTATGACTATTCACCCATCTGTAATTGAATGTGTAAGAGTAATCAGTAATGTTGAATATATTTTCTTTTTGAGGGAGTAAAGGCTTAAAAATGAAGCTTTCCAGAGCTAGTTCAACCAATCGCAGGTGAAATAGATACAAAATACTTTCAGCTAATAGTTTTCATTAGAATGCCTGAATCTATTCCTTTATCAAATGCATCAAGGCTTGTAACTGGAAGTTCAGTACTCATGTACACAAGACATCTGCTTTTTACAGGTATTTCTAGTGCGGAAGATCAAAGGATCTGATGCGGGTCAGCTTTATGCCATGAAGGTACTTAAGAAGGCAACTCTGAAAGGTAAGGACTGGGGTAGTGGCTGCAGTCTCTATTTCTGTGCTACTTTGCCGCTTACTTGTCTTGTCATTTTTTGTATTGCTGCTGTCTGATGGTATATAAAAGTACACAAATATGCATCTGTCACCCTCCAAAATTCTGCCTCACTGTAGTGAATGTTCTAAAAAAAAGTGGACACAAACAATGATCCCTATATACAGTGTGGGAACAGGAAAACAGGGCTTTGGAGTTTTCTAGCTGCATGCTTTCTTCACTTTCTGGTGTTATTTATAGAACTTCTACTGGGCACATAGTAATTGGCATAGCAGTAGCAGTATCTATCTGTTGCTGAAATAAACTGAAATAAGTATTTTGAAATAAGGATATTGCTGAAGTAACACATGACTTCTACGGGGCAGAAAGGCCTTCAACCTGGTGCTTCTCCATATATGCCTGAAAATTCATGGGAGCGTATTTTCAAGTGTGACAGAGTCATTCTGGGGTTGTTGAGATCACACTGTTTACTAGCTCAGAACCACTTAGTGCATGGTTCTCTGGCAGGCTGGGTCCAAATGACTGATGTTTGAAGCTGGTCATCCCCTTCTGGGGTCACTGGCTGCTACAGCCTCACTCAGACCAGAAAGAAATTTCTAGTAAAGCACAGGACTGAAAAGCAAACAGAGTAAGTTAGGCCTCAGCTGAAGTCCTTACAGTCCTTATTGTTTATTCCTCCACAGAGTTAGGAAGATTCAGTCCTCATCTTGTTTCCCTGACCTAGCACGGTACTTTGTTTTTCCCCTCAAAAGCATGACACTTCTTGCAGACAATGTGGACAGCGTTCATTTTGCCCAGAGCAGCTCTTTCTTGGACAATGTGGATTTGCACAATGCAGTTTAGTGCCTAAATTTCTATCCTAATGTGAAGAGGGATCATTTTGAGATAGTTCTGGTGACGTCAAAATCCAAAACGCTTTAGCAAGCCTCAATTTGGGGAACCAAAAGAAGAATGAAGCTACCTGTAATTGCAAAGTAGACTTACAGCAGGTGGTGGCAGGCAGACACAGCACATCTGAGTACTAGTCAAAATGGGGACGTGGCAAACTGGATATTTACACAGCCCTTTCCCCTAAGAAAGCCTTTTCAGAGAAATGTTAGTTTGAAGCAATGCTGCCGTGCTGATCTTTTTGTTTGGAATGTAGATGGGAAAGTTTGTTCTGGCAGAACAGCGTGGTGTAAATAACCACTTAAACAGTACTGGGCGTAATACATGAAAAGTAAAAGATCAAGCCTCTGTACACAATATGTTTAATAGAGTGATTCCCTGACTTCTTAACCAAGAGCAGGACCACAAAGTGCCCAGACTGAGCTGAACTGAACTCTCAGAGCTTTCCCCACTGGGGGAAGCCATCTCCTGCCAGGAACGGTGTCTGAGGAGGAACTATGTGACCTCCCTGATGTGAAAACATACAAGAGACTTATTTCTTTTTCTTTTGACAGCCCAGAACTTTTCACCCAAGGTAAAAATTGGGTGTTCCTTCTTTTTTCTGTATAACTCTGGGCTGTGTTGAGCAGAAGGAGCTTTGGAGAGGGGAAGGGTTTCTTCTGCATCCCCAAACACATGATTGTAACTTAATATTTGATAGCTAAATCTGTAATGTTAGATTCCACTGGTGGGGGGAGTATCTGTATTATGGTGGTATTTTAGGAAATCTCAAAATTTAGATAGTGATTTTAAACTACCCAAAATGTTGTATCACATTTCTGTTCTATCAAGAACAGGCACCTCTGTGTTTGCAGTTCCTCGCTTTGTTATAACACAGAACCACTGCTTCTCTCCTCCCTTGCCATTACAGCAGACTATTTATTGTTTGCTCAAGCGTTGGTCACAAGATCCAAAAGTTGACACTGCCTTGTGATTTTGCTGGATTGTGTTTCTCTCTCATTCAGACTACTTACTCCTCTGAGTGGTAGCTCTGGATTTCCCATTAATCTCAAGATAACTAGCACATCGATAGGAACTAATTTGTCCACACTAGTTTCTACAAATAAGTTATACTTGACGGCTATTTATCTCAAAGTACAGAAATGAAGGCAAAACCCCAATGGCACAGGCCAAGTGAGAAGAGCAATGAGGATTGCTGTCAGTGAGATTCCACCTAACTTTTGGCACAGAGATAATATTTGTGACAGCTTAATTTCGTCTTTTAAGTGAGAGTGCTGAATTGTTCTTGCTTACCTACACTCAAAGAGGCTGGAAGTCACTCCAATGTGAAGTACTTATTACCATGTCAAGTAATGGGAGCAAAGCCATAAGTACTTGTTAGCACTCCGTTCAGTATTTACTGACAAAAGGCATGCTATGAGACAAATTTCTTAATGGTTTTGCTTCCTAATTTGTACTGCACAGTACAGCATGGAGCAGGAAAGTCAAAGCTCTTTGTGCCAGTGGCATTGACATGGCCGCACAGCCCTAAATATCATAGGAGTTATTTTCTTTAGCGAGACACATAAAATGGAGAAATGAGAAAAAAAAAGAAAAGAAGAGGGGGTAGCAAACCTGTTTTGTTCTTTTCTGGATTAGTCTGAAGAATTAAAACCCAGATAAATAAGAACATGAACAAGTTAAATGCGTTCAGGAGTGATGGTTTAAAAGTAGCTTGCAACCATAGTGGATCCCGCCAAAGGGTTTCCTATCCCAGGAACCTGACTCTGGCCGTGGCTGGCTGGTAATGTTTAGGAAGAGGCAGAAGTACAAAACGGTGCTTCCTCCCATAACTCTGCTGCCTCCTGCCTCTTTCCAGGGTAGTTGTCCCTTGTTAGCGTGATCCCAACTTCACCAACAGCAAAGAGTGGTATAAGAAAGGTACAGCAGTCAGCAGCAACACTCTTCAAGCATTTAGAGCTCAAAAAAGTTGTTTGATACAAAAGAGGCTTTGTAGATCAATTGCATTTGTAGATTGTAGCTTGAAAAAGATCTGCTGAACAGCAGAACCGCTCCTGCTGTGAAGGGAGACTCCAAAATATTCAGGTTTAGATTGTAAAAGTTTGCAGAGGGACATCCTGTACATACAAACATTTGTGAAAATTAAATTAATCTTTACATCATGAAGGTTTATGTTAAATGTAGAGTATATCTGAATAAGGACCTTTAACAGCTTGGATCCTTGAAAGTGAGAAAGCCACTGTTCCTCTCAGTTGTAGATTTAAAGCACCAAACACAAGTTTCTTTCCTTCATACCTCGTTTCCTTCTGCAGGAACTTGTGGGTATCTTGTTTTTAAAGCAGAGAGCTTCCTGAAGAAACTAGATAAGTGTTTCATGCTAATTATTAATTTTAGGAAAACCTTGTCCAAAATTTTTGAGACCATTATGTCTGTTAGGTGCCAGATGGTGAATGCATCAAGTTCAAGGCTGCATGTGTGTGTAACTCTAACTTATCTGACTTTGAACCACTGTTAATTAAATTACAATACCATAATAGCTACCTTTGCAAGCATAAACCCTTTTGGGGGAGGTTCAGGTGCACAAAGACATTCAGGCACTTAAATACCTTCCAAGAGTGAGACTTTTGCCTTTCAGAATGTGATTAGATAATACTGTTAAATACCATCTTAAAATGTTGCTTTCATGTCTTCGTTACGCTCTACTTTTTTTTTTTCCTTGAAAATCAGCTTTTTAGATAAAAATTGAAAGAGAATAAAGTTGATGTACAGGTTTAAAAACTTATAGACATGTATCAGTGAGTCTTGACTCCTCGGGCTGAACGCACTGTAAGACTGAGGAAACAGAAAGAAAACAGGGACTGTCGATTCCGTGTATATGCGTGCCGTCTATTCACCAGCAAAGCTGGGACAGAGGAAAAAGGCAGGCTGATTATTTTGATTCACTCAGTATTTCTCTTAAGGTGTCTCAGGCTCCATCAGCTTTACTGGATGTGCTTCGGGATTCCGTGAACAAGAGCTGTTTAGATCGCTTACAGTGTAAGCCTCATTAAACACCCGTGAAGTGCTCATAAATCCCCAACAGGCTGCTGTGCTGGAATGTAAGGGCTACCTCTGGAGCTTGAAAATCAAAACCCCATCCCTCCAGGAGACATGCAATCTTAGAGAAAGTGGCATGAAGCCATAATTCACTGACATGATACTTACAAACTTTGTAAATATTACAGCGATGATCTAGCGAAGGTTATGTGACGGGTCATGAGGAGATAGTTTGCATCTGCCCGTCTTGTTGGTAATGGGCTGTGTAAATCTCAGCACTGGAAGCTATTTAACCCTGAGGACTGAGAGAGTCTACCTGTTTCTGCTTAAGGGGTTTAGAAATGATAATCTGTTTTGTCAAAAGCTCTGAAGTGCTTTGCAGTTTATGATCCCCTCAGTCTAAGCCAGTAGGCTTATGGGTTTACAGTTGTGCTGAGTGTGTGTGATGGTTATAGATGCAGTAAGCAGTGACTTACAGAGCTTGCGGTGTTCTCGGGAATGTTAGATCAATGATATTAATTATACACTAAATTGAACAACTAACTTAGATGTCACCAGCTGGACTTGTGATTTCCATCAAAACCATTGATAAAATCATAGTAGTGGCTTCCCTGTTTGGACACCAACTGAAGTGGCTTCTTCAGTTTTCCTCCATATTTGACTCAGGTTCCCTTAGATCTGAGATATTGAACTCCAGTGGTTTCCTTCTGGTTTGAAAGGAACAAAAATCCAACAAAACAAAAAACTGAGGACAATTTGATCTTATAACGCAGGACTCAGAAAGAGCCTTCACCTCAGATAAAACTAACTCCTTGGTGCCAAGGTTTTCAAGGTATTTTGTCCTGTTTTGTTCAGCCCCTGTGTTTGGTGAGAGACCCTCTTATTGACCCAGGTTCACCCTTTAAATTTTAGGTTATTAAGTTTTCTTACAGTGTTCTTCAATCTTTTTGATATCCTCCTGAGCCTCTTACTACCCTCTTCTAATCAATTCACCAGGGAAGTCCTAACCACACAACCAGTTTCTTCTGAGTCTAGACCCCATAGCA